ATATTATAATTTGAAAAGGGTTACATATAGTTCACGAGCCTTTTGTATCATAAATTTTCAAGGTTGTAAATACAAATGTGTCATTGAAACGTCTGGAGGAACTTCTAGCTGAAGACCGAGTTCATTTGCCTAACTTGGTACCATTCTCTTTTTTGTCTATTCTTTGCCTTCCCTTGAATATTTAGTTGCATTTACAGCCCTAGTAATTGGATAGTAGACATTCAGCACATTGTACATCTATCCCCATCATTGAACTACACAATTGATTTTAATTCTCTCAAAGTAGTACAGATCACACAATTATTAAGTGCTCTAGATGCTCGTGTGGGACATCAAGTAAGTCTTTAAACATAATTGCATGCCTTCATTATATTTTGGTTATTGGGTTAGGAGCTGCACTTCTGATACTTTCTGCTGTAAATATATTAATGCAGAAAGTTACGTTCCTATTTTGGAGAAATACACATGCATAGCAAAGTTGATGAGTGCAATTTTTATTTGTCTGTTGGTCTTTATTAGTAATGTATCTTTTCTGGTTGATTCATAAAACCCTAAACATAACAAACTTTCAGAATCAAACGAGGGAAAGAAATGGTTGACTCAAATGAAGTGAGAGTCAGGTAACATTTGTTTCCAAATGCTACAAGCTTAAGTGATAGTCTGATACTCTTATAACTTCAAAGCCAAGGTTACAATTGAGAACCTAAGCCTATTTTTGAGAACTAAATTGAGGTACACTTAAGTTTTGAGAAGAACGCGGGTTTGATTAAAATAAGTAAAACCAATCTCCCTTTTTTGTATTCCTACCAGGTACTATAACGTTCAATCTTGATCCCTTTGGGAGGCTTTTAAAAAAAATGCTGGTAAAATTGTAATAACAAACATTAATGGAAGCATTAACATATGTGAGGCAGTGAGGGTACATATTAAACGTTTATGATTGAAAATATATGTACATATTACATATAGCAGTTCCTAGCTAAGTAAATTTTCCGGATCATTTTAAAGATGTGCCTCTACCAGTAGATTTTTTTTTAATCTATCCTTTAGTTGTTTCAAGTGTAGTATTTAACCGCATGATCCCTTTTTAATATTTCGGGCAGTTTGGTTCAATTTTGATCCATTTCATTCAATGAACACAGTGATGCTGACCTTTGGGAGGCTTTCAAAAGGTCCCATTTGAAAGATGTCTTCAATAGGAACATTTGGGATTGGATGCAACTTTTTAAATGTATCATCCTTGTTGTATTTTAATCAAACCTAAGAGGATTTTTTAAACAAACTCTAACCGGAGCAAATATTTTTTTTTTCTCTGATTGTATCACAATAAAGTATATAGCAGATACGACTACCTAAATTGAATGAGCATTTGAACTGCACACCTTCAATAATGTGTGGTAATCAAAACATTTAAAACGATAGAAACATCTGTTTTTTTGTTTTTTTTTTTAAATTGTAAAACACATACTCACACTCACTATAGGTTTGAACTGTCGAGGAAGTGCGGTTGTCACTTGAAAGACAAATTTCAACGTGATCCTGTAATGTTTGCATGGCATAAGTAAATTTTAAGTGGATGTCTTTATTTTTACCCCTTTTCAGATGGGACAGTTCACAGTTGAGAAAAGGCATCCTCAGTTTTCATTATTTACCAGGAAGTCCAGAGAAGTCCCCAAGTTCCGAAAGCCCCTTTTCTTGATTACGCAAAACTTGAGGTGCCGTTTCGTAATTTGGTCTCTTGTGCTTTATGGATTGTGAAACTTTTTTCTTTTAGCATCAACATGAGTTTGATGACAATGGATAATAGTTTCAACTCTTGACATATTTGTTAACGTTATGAAGTCATTTGTTCCCATTGTTCAAGCCTTGAGCGGTGTTGAATAAAATTGTTCATCTCGTGTCTTATCTAGTAAAATCAATAGTAATTTTCACGTGTATTTGCTTGGGTTGGTTTTTGTGTTTTCAGGTTTGGCGGTTGTGAGTAGGCTTGCTCGAAACAAGCTCCAAAATGCCGATATATAATTTTGAAGATAGAATGGTTGGATGCGACTATGCTGAAATTAATCCGTATTTTACAAGATACAAACGTGTCAAAAGATAGTAATTGTATAAGTTAAAGTTATCAATAATACTCATACTAATTCTATATCAAGACATAAACTCTTAGCAGATAAAAAAAAAATTAATACTTGAAAACAGAAATTTACAAATAGAAAAGAGAGATAAAAAAAATTAGTGATAGATGCACACTAACCTTTGAAAAGTCATATGGGCAAGCAGACAAATGTGAGGATAAAAGTATACACACTTAAATTAACCATAATAAAAAATAAATAAAGGAAACGTTAAATATGATGAAAAAATAAATATATAAACTATCAAAATATATGAATAAAATAACAGGGTATGAAATTGATATGAGAAAATAGAGTTTGAAGAAAATCATGTAACTCCAACAAAAGGTAGAATTTATCTTTGTAATTTTGTTAAAAATGTCTCTAAAAGTCTTATAATTTAAAAAATTTCATAAAGTCTTTCTGTTTTTAATATCGGATGATTTATGGAGAGTTTCATAAAATTTTAATTCAATACCTTACACCTTTTAGAGATTTATAAAAAAGAAAATAAAAATTAAAAGCCTCAACTGAATATCGTTAGACTTTTTATAAGTTTCAAAAAGTTATAATTGAATACACTCAAATTCAAAAATAAATAAATATAAAGAAAATCAAAAGTTTCTACTTATTAGACCTTCGATTCTCATAAAACCAAAAAAACTTCCAGGATCACAAACCGACTTTGCCCTTCCGTCGAGCTTTGTTGAGATTGAGCCTAATTTATAGAGTAATTCCTCCTTAGGGTTTTGCGGACGCTGCTACTGCTTTCTTCTCGGGCTTCTTTGTTAAGATTGAGCCTAATTTATAGAGTAATTCCTCCTTAGGGTTTTGCGAACGCTGCTACTGCTTTCTTCTCGGGCTTCTTCACGGGCAGCTTTCTTTTCTTATAGTGATCACATTGTTCTTTAGTATAGAAGGTGCTGAAAAGGGAGAAGGGCCACCACCAGTATTTGATTTGGTTTCTTGTTTGTTATGACGTTCTGTGCATAGCCTCTGTCAATGTTTCTTGGATTTAATGATAATATAACCATAAAGCTGTGTATTTATATATCTGGGAATATTCAAAATTAGTCTTGTATGTTTGTTGTTTCAAAACTAATCCCGCTCAGATTCACTTGATATATTCCCCTAAATTTTGAAACGTTTTCCACTGAATGTCAACATTATTAGTGTAAATCATAAAACGAAAATATGACAGAGGATTTAGGATGGAGCTTTTGACGGACCCCACTTCTTATGAACCATGCATATTATTACAAAACCAGCAATCTCGAAGCAACTGTTTATTTGTAGGCCCAACCACAATTGACCAAGTACCAAGCATGCCTTACTGTCTAGATGCCACTAGATATATAAACAAGGATCATCTTGTGAGTTGTGAGACATATATGAAACATTTTAATAGTGGTTCATATCTTTACGTTGTGGAAAATCAAGATTCGACGGGGAAAAGAAAAAAAAGAAAAAAAAAAGATCTACAGGTTAAGTAGCTGTTGTTTGGCTTCAAT